CACACACACACACACATGCACACACACACAAACACACGCACGCGCGCACAAATGCAACCATACACACACACACACTCACACACACACACACACACACACACACACACACACACACACACACACACACACACACACACGCACTTACGCACATACACACACACACACACAAACACACACGCAAAAACACATAAACGCATAAGCACACACATACAAACACACACACACACACACAAACACACGCACGCGCGTACAAATGCAACCATACACTCACACACACACACACACACACACACACACGCACACACACACACACGCACGCACGCGCGAACGCGCACAAACACAACCATGCACACACACACACACACACACACACACACACACACACACACACACACACACACACACGCACACACACACAAACACACGCACGCGCGGGCGCGTACAAACAAAACCATGCACACACACGCACACTCACACACACACACACACACGCACACACACACACACGCACGCACGCGCGAACGCGCACAAACACAACCATGCACACACACACACACACACACACACACACACACACACACACACACACACACACACACACACACGCACGCACGCGCGGGCGTACAAATGCAACCATACACACACACGCACACTCACACACACACACACGCACGCGCGCGCACAAACGCAAACATGCACACACACACACACACACACACACACACGCACACACGCGCGAACGCGCACAAACACAAAAATGAACACACACACACACACGCACGCGCGCGCGCACAAATGCAACCATACACACACACACACACACACACACACACACACACGCACGCGCGAACGCGCACAAACACAACCATGCACACACACACACACACACACACACACACACACACACACACACACACACGCACGCACGCGCGGGCGTACAAATGCAACCATACACACACACGCACACTCACACACACACACACGCACGCGCGCGCACAAACGCAAACATGCACACACACACACACACACACACACACGCACACACGCGCGAACGCGCACAAACACAAAAATGAACACACACACACACACGCACGCGCGCGCGCACAAATGCAACCATACACACACACACACACACACACACACACACGCACGCACGCGCGAACGCGCACAAACACAACCATGCACACACACACACACACACACACACACGCACGCGCGAGCGCGCACAAACACAACCATGCACATACACACACACGCACGCGCGCACGCACAAATGCAACCATACACACACACACACACACACGCACGCGCGGGCGCGCACAAATACAACCACATACAGACGCACGCACGCGCGAGCGCGTACAAACACAACCATGCACACACACACACACACACACACACGCGCGCACGCGCAAGCGCGCACAAACACAACCATGCACATACACACACACACACACACACATACGCACGCGCGCACAAACGCAAACATGCACACACACGCGCGCGCGCGCGCACAAACGCAAGCATGCACACACACACACACGCACGCGCGCACGCACAAACACAACCATACACACACACACACAATGCCGTTGGACGGCTAAATATGTATATATATATATTTTATAGTTTTTTTTTTATTCTTTTTTTTTTTACTTTGTATTTTTTTTTCCTTTTTTATTTATTTGTTTATTTTATTATTATTTTTTTTTATCTTTTTATCTTTTTATTGTTTTTTTATTACTTTTTCTTTTTTTCTTTTTTTATTATCATTATAATGATTATTATTATTTTTTATTTTATTCAACTAAAAACTAAAACAGACTTCTCCTGGCGGCGCCAGAAGATCTTCCGAAAGCCAGGCTTCGCCTCCAAGAGCTGCTCACTGGCAGAGGCGCAGCATCTCGCCCAGCGCCTCCACGATCTCCTCCAGCGTGGGGCGCTGGTCGTGCTCGGGGCGCTGCGCTCGCTCCGCCAGCGCCTGCAGGGCCGCCAGCGGCGCCTTCATGCTCTCCGCCACGAACTGCAGCATCACGCCCACGCCCAGCACGTCGCACTACTCTGTCAGTGGCGTGCCTTGGTGCACGCACGCGCAGTACCACGACTGCCGCCCTTTGCTGCTCTCGGGATGGCACTGGCCCACGGGAAGTGCCATCCCGAAGTCGATGATGTGCACCGACGGCGCTCCTGCTGCGCCGCGCAGCTGCACCATCACGTTGGTGGGCTTCAGGTCGCAGTGCACGATGCCGGCGGCGTGCACGGCCGCCACTGCTTTCCGCCAGCTTCACGCTCAGCTGCAGGAGCTGCTTCTGGCTGCGCTGCGCACTCAGCACGTCGGCCAGGCACTCCTTGCCCAGGTACGTCATCAGGAGGCACGACGGATCCTCACTGTACGCCAAGGCCATGGGCGCTCCCCCCGCGCCCTGCAGCCGCCTCAGCATCTCCATCTCGTGCTCGAACACCACCTTGGAGCCGGGGGCGGCCAGCTTGAGGGCGCACTCCTTGCCCTTGTAGCTCACGCGCACCACGCGCCCGTACTTGCCCTTCCCGAGGCGCACCTCCTTCCCCTTCTGCAGGAACTTGCACTCCTTGCTCGAAAGCTTGGCCACCTACATCCTGTCGCTGTTGGCCAAGTCTGCGCTCAAAAGCTAAAAGGCTTCCGCTCGGTTTGGATTCCTTATGCTGAGCTGTCTGCGTGAGTTGTTGCTCTGATGCGGCTAGCCTTAGTTGTGCCGATCTGAGCGGGAATTGTCGGGTCATCAACTTATGGTAAAGAAGTTGTCACAGAACAAAAGAGCCGCGCAATGCGAAAAATCGAGCAGAAATTGTATTTCTGCAGTATTTTCTTCACATCTAATTTATTGGCTGTTGACATTTTGTTGATATTTGACTACCTTTAAAGAAACATAGCAAATATGTTGTTATACTGTTTTATTAATCAAAAAGGAAAGAAAAGAAAGAGAGGAAAACACTGATTAATGGGAAACGCGATTTCTTGTCGACATTTTGCGCCGCGTCGCCGTTTTTTTCTCTATTTCACGACACGAGTCATCTTACATAGCCGAAAAATAAAGATTAATTCCATATCATGCTTATAAAACCCAAATAAATGCCAATATATCGCACAACAATTTTTTTTTCAATTGTCTCTTTACCAGCCCTTTTGAAGGAGAGCGCGATGAATCGAGGAAAGTCCCTTTCATTATCACCATGGCAGGGGAGAGACGCCCACGGCAAGGAATACTGCCCACGCCCACACACGCCCAGTTCGAGAATTAAAAAAAAAATCTCGTGTGTGGTAAGTAACTCGTAATACACCTACAGATCCATACTATTTACAATGTTGTTATCTTCTATGACTGGGCTGTTTTTGGGCTGCGAGAGAGAAAGAGAGAAAGAGAGAGAGAGAGAGAGAGAGAGAGAGAGAGAGAGAGAGAGAGAGAGAGAGAGAGAGAGAGAGAGAGAGAGAGAGAGAGAGAGAGAGAGAGAGAAATAGAGACACAGACAGATATTAATAGATCTATAGAGAAAGAGCGGGGGGTAGAGGGAGATAAAGCGTGCTTAAACATTACAATTGTTTTATCACTGGACCCATATTATGTTTACCATCATGATTACTGCGAAGTGTGGTCTATGCTCCAGAGGAGAGGGCGACACACTTCAGTTGCACACGCGCTTGACTTTTATTGGCACCACGATTTCTTCTGCGCATGATTACTTTAGTTATCCCGGTGCCTAATTTCTATTTTTTCCTATAATCTATCTGTATTGCTGCTTTATGTGATTTTTTTTTTACCAGTTCTGCTTTCGTTTAATACATTTAATTTGTTTTCTAGGTCTCTTGATTTATCATCGAGATCTGAATGTAGAATTAACAAATTTCACGGTATTTCTGCTGTGTCCATTTTATTACATTTTCTTTTATGGAGCTTGATGCACGCGGGTACAAACGCAACCATGCACACACACACACACACGCACGCGCGGGTGCGCGCAAATGCAACCATACACACACACATACACGCACGCGCGAGAGCATACAAACGCAACCATACACACACATACACACACATACGTACGCACGCGCGCGCGCGCGCTCATATACAACCACACACGCACACACACGCAAGCGCGCACAAATGCAACCATACACACACACACACACACGGACGCACGCGCGAGCGCGCACAAACACACACACACGCACGCGCGGGCGCGCACAAATGCAACCATACACACACACACACACGCACGCGCGAGTGCACACAAACGCAGCCATGCACACACAAACACATACGCACGCACGCGCGCGCACAAACACAACCACACACACACACACACACACGCACGCGTGCACAAATGCAACCATACACATACACACACAGACGCACGCACGCGCGAGCGCGCACAAACACAACCATGCACACACACACGTACGCGCGCGCGCACAAACGCAAGCATGCACACACACACACACACACACACACGCACGCGCGCACGCACAAACACAATCTCACACACACACAGTGCCGTTGCACAGGTAAATATGTATATATATATTTTATCTATTTTTATATTTTTATTTTATTTATTTTATTTCTTTTTTTTTTTTTCTTTTTTTACTTTTTTTTTTTTACTTTTTAATATGTCTTTAATTTTTTTTTTCTTTTGTATTATTATTATAATGATTATTATTTTTTTTTTATTTAATTTAAGTAAAAACCAAAACAAGAAAATGGCGCCTGGCTCTTCCCTTCAAAAGTAGCCTTTTCCTGGCGGCGCCAGAAGATTTCCTTCCGAAAACCAGACTCGCCTCCAAGGGCTGCTCACTGGCAGAGGCGCAGCATCTCGCCCAGCGCCTCCACGATCTCCTCCAGCGTGGGGCGCTGGTCGTGCTCGGGGCGCTGCGCTCGCTCCGCCAGCGCCTGCAGGGCCGCCAGCGGCGCCTTCATGCTCTCCGCCACGAACTGCAGCATCACGCCCACGCCCAGCACGTCGCACTACTCCGTCAGCGGCGTGCCTTGGTGCACGCACGCGCAGTACCACGACTGCCGCCCTTTGCTGCTCTCGGGATGGCACTGGCCCACGGGAAGTGCCATCCCGAAGTCGATGATGTGCACCGACGGCGCTCCTGCTGCGCCGCGCAGCTGCACCATCACGTTGGTGGGCTTCAGGTCGCAGTGCACGATGCCGGCGGCGTGCACGGCCGCCACGGCCTCCGCCAGCTTCACGCTCAGCTGCAGGAGCTGCTTCTGGCTGCGCTGCGCACTCAGCACGTCGGCCAGGCACTCCTTGCCCAGGTACGTCATCAGGAGGCACGACGGATCCTCACTGTACGCCAAGGCCATGGGCGCTCCCCCCGCGCCCTGCAGCCGCCTCAGCATCTCCATCTCGTGCTCGAACACCACCTTGGAGCCGGGGGCGGCCAGCTTGAGGGCGCACTCCTTGCCCTTGTAGCTCACGCGCACCACGCGCCCGTACGTGCCCTTCCCGAGGCGCACCTCCTTCCCCTTCTGCAGGAACTTGCACTCCTTGCTCGAAAGCTTGGCCACCTACATCCTGTTGACCAAGTCTGCGCTCACAGGCTCAAAGGCTTCCACTTGGTTTGACT